TTGGCAGGGGGCAACACAGCGGACGACCACTGGGAGCTCATCGTGAACATCATGAAGGAGGCAGCCAAGCCCTTCTTCGAGCGCCAGAAGTCCAAGCCCGACCAGTACTACCAGCTCATGGAGGAACGTTTGCGGCTACTTCAGGAGCGCGCCGAGCTCAGAGAGGAGTACATCGGGTCCGACCCCAACTACGAGATCGAGTACCAGATCGAGGTCCTCTCACGTGCCCTCAAGAAGCATAAGCGCCAGCACGAAGCCGAACGAAGACAACACTTGGAGGAGCGCATCTACGAGGCGTGGCAACGAAGAGAACACGCTGAAGTACATCAACTGTCTCGACTCCTGGCCGGCACCAGCTACGGCAAGCGCAACCGCAACTACAGCCGCGCGACCAGAGCACGCCCCAGCTTGCAGGGGTGGGCAGATCACATTGCACAAGACGGCCAGCACGGAGGGTTCAGAGCTCACCAGATCGACCTCGAGGAGGAGAAGCGCATCTTGAAAGAGACCACCTACGAGTTCACAACCGCGCACAACCTACAAGTTCGCCAGGAATACGAAGACGGCAAGGACGGCATCAAGCGAGTACTCTACGGCGTCACCAAGCGGCTCAAGTACTTCAAGAAGCGCGCCTCCGTGCCAGACTGGCCACTGCCCGCCGAGATCTTCCAGGTGACCCTCCAGCCCGCCAACGCGCCAAGCCGAAGTCGAAGACGACAGGCGTGGGCTACGATGACGAGCTCGCTGAGGCTTCCCTCGCGCAGGAGAGCCTCGAGTCAGTCCTCAACCACGTGTGCCGCGTCGGCTTCGCACCTCTCAACGCCCGCCACAGCCAGAGCTTCGCCCTCGACAAGAAGAACGGCAAGCCCAAGGTCCTCGGCTAGCGCATGCTCCACATGCTGTGCCCCTTCTGGCGCTGCTTCTATCGACAGCTCCAGTGCAAGTCCAAGCCGTGGTCTCCTCCCCCCCATGCCCACGGCTGCTGGCCTCATAGGCGTCGCGAAGTCCCCATGGCAGCCCCCCGCATCGTCGCCTACCGCCTGCAGCGGGTCAAGCAGACTTCATCGTCGGCAGCAAGGACGCCACCAACGCCTTCCCCAGCACCAAGCTCGACAAGGCCATCAACACCATCCCAACCGCCCTCAGCGTAACTGAACAACGTCTATTTCACCAACGCTACCAGTGCGCCAGCGTCCGGATCGACGGGTTCGACTCCGCAGGCGACTTCTACCTCGGCTCGGGGGTCATGCCAGGTTGCAGCATAGGACCGACATCCTTCAACTTCGTCTATGAGCAACCAGTGGGACAATGGCTCGAGGAGACCCCACAGGACACCGCCCCCCTCGCGGCCGTGTCACCCATCACGCACGCCCTGCTCGACCTTTCCGTCTACCTGTACGTCGACGACATCTTCAAGATGCACCTTGTCCCATCGGGCGCTGCGCGGGGCGCCGCCTTGGCCCTCGCCAACAGCAACACCATCCTCGACCAGTGCCTTGCCGAGTACGGGTTCCACCAGAACAGGGACAAGGAGGAGATCGTCGGAGGCCTGCGCACGCGGCGGGAGAACCGAGCCACAGCAGGTCAAGTCCAAGGGCGAGTCCTTCCCACCCTTAAAGTATCTGGGCGGCCACTTCCACCACGGACGCAGCAACGCCATCGAGATCGACATGCGCATTCAAAGCATCAAGCGAGCGTGGCACATCATGGGCAAGTTCTGGCATCGCAAAGTACCGTGGCGCCTCAAACGTATCATCTTCATGACGAGGTGATTGGTGCCGCAACCAGCGGCATGGAATCCTACCTCCCCAAGGACACCGACTACAAGCGCCTCGACGCCGTCATTGCCACCTACATGCGCGTACTCATGCAAGGCAAGCGGGCACTGACCGCACTATGACCAACAGCGAAGTTTTCAAGCACTGCCACATCTCCCCGATGTACATCGAGCTGCGAGTGAGGAGGCTGCGCATGATACAGGCCTCTGTCAAGTACCCACCAGATTACGATCAGTGGCTCACGGCACTCTTCGACTCCATCAAGTTCGAGAACGACTACAATCGTGAGCGCATCGGAGAGCTCGACGACAATGGCCATCTCATCGCGGACGCGAACCCCATGGCGAAGCAGTACTACAACGACGTCCTCTCCATCCTCGAGTTAGACCGCGCCGAGGAGTTCAGCTACGCATGGGACGGGAGCATCACTCAACTGTATTACGACGCAGACGTTGCAGCGGCTTTCATCCAGATCGATGTGGCAGAGCTCAGAGCCAGAGCAACAGCAGTGGCGATTCCACCTCCTGGTTTCGAGCCACTACCACACGAACAAGACCAACGAGCAGGAGACGAACTGGGTTACTACAAGTGTGACCTCTTAACGGACGCGGGACAAGTCTGCGGCCGAGTTTTTTTTCGTCATGGACAGCGCTCTGTACCCATCAGACCGCGACAAAAGGAGGAGCGCATGGGCTTCGACCAGCAGCTGCAACAGTCACCATCACCAATCAGTGTCCGCTCTGTCGTACCACGTTTCTCGATCGAGCCCAAGCCGAAGATCATCTGTTTCGATCTCTCAAACACAAGCGCTGCATTGCCGACAGCACCAGGCTTCAGTATCCGCTGACACCGATCGAGAACCCAGTCTGTCTCCTCTGTCCACACCTGCATCCGTTTGCGCATCTCTCAAGCTTCCAGGACCGCGTTTGCACGAATCACCTCCCCACTGCAGAGCGCGAGATTTCGCTCGACATCGGCCTCTTCCAGGATAACCTGGTGCGTGCCGGACGAGAAGGACATCGAGGAGGTGGCGAGCAGCATGGCGGACACGGAACGCTCCAGCAAGCAGCGCAAGACTACGCACCCCAAGGGCAAGGGCGGCCACCACAAGAAAGGCGCAAAGGCAGAGGGAAAGGACGCGGACGGGGACGCCAATATGCAGGACAAGGAAGAGGAAGAGCAGCAGGGCGTGGCAAGCCCAGCAGCAGCCGCTGCTTCAGGCCAGCAAGTACGACGCCAACAACGAGGGGGAGAAGCCTACCAGACCAAGTGCGACCCCAAGCTGAAGAAGTTGCTCGCGGTCCTGATCAAGCAAGTGCTGGCCAACACGCAGCAGATCGCCTGGGTCGTTTCCGCGGTATAGAGCGCGTACCTGATGCCGACTCAGACCAAGGTGATCAAGGCGCTCCGAGCCTGCAGGAAGATCTACGCGGACAAGTGCAAGGAGGCGGGCAAGGGACACTCGCTGGGACCGCCAGAAGGACACCTTTACGTCACGCTTATTTCGACCCTCTGCTCCGAGGACGTGGGCGCCAATACCAAGGGCATTCTCGCAGAGCACGGGAAGTTCGTGGACCAGGTCAGCGTGGCGACAGTCCTCAACAAGGTGAAGCAACTGAAGCTCAGCAAGTGCTACGACAGCAACCCGGCGAATATCACACTGTATATCGAGCAGGGGCCCTGGACCGACGCGGAGGCCGAGGAGGATCCTTCAGAGGAGCAGAAGCAGCAGAGCAACATCAAGCACAGCATCCACAGAGCGCTGATCCAAGCGGGAGCCACGGTGAAGACGGGCAAACCACCAGCGGGAGTCATGGAGGATGAGCTGGCTGCGTGGTTGGCAGGGCTATCACTATGAGAAAATGGATGGCCGACTCGACTACGCCTCGTTCGGCAAGGTGATCGGCGTGCGTGGCACCGTGATCACGATGAAGGTGCCGCTCTGAGCGGCGACGGCGGGGGCCCACTCTTGCGGCCGAACGCACTGCTCCGCCCTCCGACGCCGCTCTATCTACCTCCTCCTCCTCCTCCTCCTCCTCCTCCTCCTCCTCCTCCCTCCTCCTCCTCCTCCCCTCCTCCTCCCCTCTCCTCCTCCTCCTCCTCCTCCTCCTCCTCCTCCTCCTCCTCCTCCTCCTCCTCCCCTCCTCCTCCTCCTCCTCCTCCTCCTCCTCCTCCTCCCCTCCTCCTCCTCCTCCTCCTCCTCTCCTCCTTCTCCTCCTCCTAATCCTCCTCCTCCTCCTCCTCCTCCTCCTCCTCCTCCTCCTCCTCCTCCTCCCTCCTGGTAAGAATAACGTGCATGACCCCCCTCTTTTTTCCCTTTCGACCGCATGCCGCCAGCGGTTGTCTACCCGCCGCGGGCCCCCCGGGCAGACACGGGAGAGCTTTGAAGGATATATCTAGGGCTGTCCCCGGCGGTCTGCCAACGACTCAGCGCCCCTCGCAGCCCGCCCGTGGGACACCCCATGGCGCGGGACATGCGGGGGGTGCGCTGGGCCCCCGCCCGGGGCTGCGCACTCTGGGCCTCCGCCCGGGCCACCGCGATATGGGACGGGCTAAGGGCCTGGGGCCGCGGGAGGGGACCATGGGGAGAGGCCGCCGCCGCGGGGCCGGCGCTGTGCAAGTCGCCCCGTGGCAGCCGCGTACCCCCAAGATCCCCTCCTCCTGGCTTCCAAACTGCCCCGGGCCGCCCCCCGCGGGCCCGCGCGGGGCGCGCCGGGGGCTGCCCGGGGGGCCGACGGGGATCGGGCCTGGCGCGCAGCGCCCCGGTCCGATCCCCGCCTTGGCCGCTGGGCTGTCCTGGGCGCCTCGCCGCCAGCCGCGCGCAGGGCCTCCCGGGGCCACCGGGCGCTGCCTAGGGCCCCCTCGCATTGCCGTCTCGCGGGCCCGGCGCTGTCCCCCCGACCTCCCAGGTCGCGCTTGGGCGGCCAGCGGAGCCCCGTAACATGAGTCACGACGGCGTCGTCTTGACCATTATTCTGGGCCTCGGCCAGGGCCGCCGAGAGGAGTCCACCGCAGGCCCCGGAAAGGGGGGAGGAGAGGGGAGAGGGAGGGGAAGAGGGGGGGCAGGGAGAGGGAAGGAGAAGAGGGGGGCACGGAAACGCGGGGGGGGGAGGGCGGGGCACCGCGGGCCAAGGGGGGGCGGGCCAGGGTAAGGGCCTGGGGCCTGGGGACAAGGGCTCCTTTATTATACCTCGGACGGAGGCCCTTGCCGGCCTAGCGGGCCGCGAGGCGCCCGGCTACTGTGATCGCCGTGAGGACGTCCGCGTCCTCGTGGCACCGGCGCCGCAGCTCTGCCGCGCTGTCCCCCTCCCATGGGGCGCCCGCGGCTGCGTCCTGAGCGGCGCGGGCAGCCTGTGGGCACTCCCCGAGGTGGCTGCCGTCCACCGGGGCCACGGCGCCGCACCACCGGCAGGGCGCCGCCAGGCCGCCGTGGGACGTGAAGCGGCCTTGTAGCCGCAGCTGTGCCCAGGGGCGGACGGTATGAGAGACCAGGGCCAGGTCGCTGACCTCCGGCATGCTGCGCACGCCCCGGGCTGGGTAGAGCGCGCGCTGGGCCGCGAGCCATTCGTCCTCGCGCGCCTGCAGCCCTGGGTCGCCGGCCTCGCGGAGGTAGCGGCGGGTCGCCCGCCTCCTCGCTGGGCCGCTCAGGGCGTGGGTGTCCTGGGCGAGGGCGCCGCGCGCCCACTCGGCGAAGAGGGGGGCGGCCAGGTCGCTCGCGTAGTGCTCGAGCGCCGCCGTCCACGTGCCCTGGCACTCGCGGGCCGCTCGCAGGACGCGGGCCGGGTGCGCCGCCTGTGGGGGCGCCTGCGCGCGGGCGTGGAGGCCGAAGGCGTGGCGGAGGGTGCTGGTGCTCAGCCGCCATGCGAGCCCGCCTTCGCGGAGGAGGGCGATGCGCGGCACCGGCTGAGAGAGGTCAAGCAGCCGTGAAATCCATCGGTCCGGGATGGCGTCAACACGGCGCTCCCAATCGCCACGAACGATGAGCAGGGCCGCCCCATGGCATGCTCGCGGGGTGGTCCGCGTGCGCAGGGCGGCCGGCGCGGCAGCGGTGGGCAGGCCGAGGTGCTCGATGGCCGTGAGCGCGCTGGCCCAGCCTCCCTGCGCCCGGTTTTCGACCTGCCTGAGGAGGCCTATCATGCGGGCGTCAGCCTCGACTGGGATGCCCAGGGACGTGTGCTGCGTGGCGAACGCGATGCCGCGTCCGCGATCCCGTTGCTGATGCACTCCGTCTTCCCAGGCCCGACGCGGAGCTCACCTCGGACCGACTGGGCTGCCTCTGTGATGCGCTGGATGCAGAGGTCGAGGCCGCCCCTGGAGCTGGCCCTGTGCACGTTGTCGTCCATATACTGCGTGAGGCCGACCCGCAGGGTGGAGGCGGCGTCCAGGAGGGCGCATTGGTCCGCGTGGGAGGGGGCTGCGCGCACGGCGGCCTCCCAGGTCTGGTTGCTCTGGCGGCACCTGAGGGCGGTCTGCGCGCACCATTCCCAGGACGGGGGGGCCCGCCAGTCTCCTCGTGGGCCGCGAGGTGGAAGGCGGTGGCCGCCTCGGCGGGGGGGTCGAGCCCGACGCCGCCGCAATCGGGGCCAGCGGCCGCCCTGAAGGCCCTGGCCGCCGCGACGAAGAAGGCTGTGGCGAGGCGCCGTCCTTCGGGCATTCCGTCCGTAAGGGCGACTGGGGCAGCCTGCGCCTCGCCCGAGACCACGCGGACCTGGGAGCCGTGGAGCATCTGCGCAGCCAGCGCGAGGTCCTCTCCAGTGAGGCCCGCACCTTCGCTAATGCCCAGGTACCGCTGGGGCGTGTATCGTGTCGAACGCCTCCGCAAGGTCTGTGAAGGCCTCGGCGATGGGCAGGCCCAGGTCTGCGCGTATGAGCCGCGTCTCGACGCCGAGCAGGACTGCGATGAGAAATTCTCCCCTGCCCAGTTGGCAGTCCCCCGCGGAAAGCCAAAGTGCGTGCTCGTGGTGCGCCCACAGTTCCGCGGCCACTCCGAATTCCACGGTGTTCGTGGAAAGGGTGCGGTAGCTCGGGTACTGCTGTTGTGGCTTCCCCTGTTTCCGCTTGTGAAAAGTCGGCTGGTCTTTCCACCGGCCGGGGATTACCATAAGAAACCGGGCGAAGTGTTGCACGCGCAGGAGGAGCCCCCCCTGTCCCTGGGACATCTCTTTGATGAAGGCGTACGGCAATCCTGCGCTGGCCTTTCCGACCTTGATCCGGTCGCAGGCGTCTCGGAGGTCTTCTTCAGTGTAAGGGCGGTGGTCCCGCGCCCACTCCTGCCGCCACTGCTGGCGTAGAGAGGCGTGGGGATCTCGGGAGCGGCGCTCCTCACGCCTGAGGTGGTCCCTGTGGCGGGGCGTGAAGTCCGCCTCCCGACCGCACCCTCTCTGACGAATGTACTGCGCCGCGCCTGCCAGGGCGTCGTCGCCTCTCCTGAAGGCGCCTGGCACGCTGCTGTCCTCCATGATCTGCGGGAGGCCCAGGCCGTGCTGTCCGGAGAGCTTCGTGAGGTACTGCTCCGCTGCCGTGGGGTCCTGCTCGGCGAGCTGGATGTACCGTGCCGCGCGTGCGCGGGCCAGGGCGTTGGCTCGCTCGGCCTGCCGCCGCCGCGTCGCCTGGATGGCGTCCGCCGCGAGGGGGGCGCTGCTCGGCGGCGCGAGCTGGAGGGGGGGCGCGCGCGCGACCCACAGGAGGCCGCCCGTCACCGCGTCCAGGTAGCAAGAGGCACGCCGAAGCCATGCCGCAAGCTCCGCAGATGCCAGGAGCGCGTCGTCCGGGGCAGTCCGCCACGTGCCCCCCGTGTTGAGACTATCGGCGGAGCTCCTCGGCGGCGAGATCCTGGAACGGCTCCAGGGCCCTCAGGGCGACTGACCAATCGCCCGGCTCTTTGCTGAATACGCAGCGGGCAGCGCGGCCGCTCCTACTCGTCGCGCCTGCGGGGGCACGCGTCTGAAGGCCTGTCAGGGCGACCGGGTAGTGGTCCAGGTCGTGGCACCCGAAGAGCTCGACGTGCTTCCCACGGCGTTGCCTCGTGCAGCCCGATGCGCGGCACTCCTCCCCGTTGTGCACCACCGCGGCGACGCGGGCGGGGTCCGTGGTCCACGCGACGTCCAGGCGGCGCCCGCGGACATGCGTGGCGACGGTGTCTGGGACGAGGTCCCTCAGTCCCCGGGCGGTGAGGTGACGTCGGTAATGCTTCTCCAGGGAGGGGCTGGGGTTGAGGTTGCCGTATGCCACCGCGAGTGACAGTTCAGGGCGGATGCGCCAGATCCTGTCGTACTGCGAGAACAGCGCGTCCACGAGCTCGCGGCGGGATTCTTCTGGCGCCTCGGGCCCCTTCGGCGGGATGGCGAACCCCCCGATGAGTACCTCTCCATCAGCTACATGCCACTGGATGCGGTCGGTATCTGTCTCCCCGCTACGCCATTCAATCGGCACACGTGCCTCGTGATGCCGGAATCCCACGACCGCCCCGTATTTCGCGGTGGCGGGGCCCATCGCTTCGAAGGGGAAGTCGGGGACGTGGCGGCTTAAGTCGATGCCAGGCAGGAGGCGGCACGCGGTGCTGAGAAAGAACTCAACGTCGAGCGCCGTCATGAGGGTGCCCTTGTCCCCCCACCGATGGGTGGGGATGCCCGTGCCCTGTAGGTTTGCGCCGCCAGACAGGCCAGCGCTAACCCCGCCAAGAGTCCAGCCACTCGCCGCCTGTGTTGCTGCTGGGTCTGCGGCGTGCGGCACCACGCGCAGGGGGCCTGCGTGCGCGCTTGACCCGAGGGTGGCGCTCGGGCCCTGGCTCCGTCGGCCGCGGCGGCCCTCGGCCAGCTGGCCCGCGGCGGTGGCGGATGCGTGTAATGCCGCGGTCAGCGCCTCTGCCGCGCCGTATAGGCCTGGGGGCAAGCCGACCAGTGGGGTAGAGCACGTCCGGGGCTTCTCGTCAAGCAGGTGGTCGACGTCAGCCGCCACGCCCCTTGCCCAGCACTCGACGTCGCGCCCGTGGGCGTCCGGCGACCACGGCCGCGCCAGCGTCGGGAGCCCCTCGAGGGCGCCCATGTGCGCGGCGGCCCCTGCGCGGGCCAGTTCCTCACCCAGCCGCTGGTGAGCGGTGGCTGCTTCCCGGTCCTCTGTCGGCGCTGCACCCCCGGGGTCGGCGGCCTGCGCAGTCGCGATGGCCGCCGCGAGGGCAGCGCCTAGCGAAAAACTGGCGGGGTCTGGAGGGCGCGGGCTTTCTGGCCGGGTTCCCCATAGACCACCTCCATGGCCGGCTCTGCGCGGGCGTGCTCGGCCTCATCCTGCCACGTACGTCGCTCCCGCCCTTGTCTGGAGGAGCCGCTCCGCGTCCTCGATCGCCTGCAGCGGGGCCCTGCCAATGGCCGACCGCGCGCGGCCGTCGCTGCTGATCGATGGGGTGACGCCAGTCCGGAGGACGAGCGGCCATGGCATAGTGTGGCGTGGCGGGACGTTCCGGATCGACACCGATGTGCTCGTCCAGCAGGTCCCAGACCCCTGGCCACGCACCCTGACGGTCGGCGGCATCTGAGCGGAAGAACGTCTGCCCACGGAGCACGAGGACTTTGCCGGCCAGGCGCCGCTGGCGCGCCCTGCGCTGCACGTCTTCCTGGTTGCGCCGCCCCTGTTGGACCATCGCTCTGTTTGCCTGCCTTCGATGGTCCGCCCGTGGGCCGTCGCCCCGGGAGGCCACGCGGGGAACGCCCTGCGGAGCTGCGGCCACAGGTGCTCCACCAGGGGTGTTTTCCCGTCGCAGCGGGGGCGGCCATCACGGGACTGCCACGAATTGATGGTGACCCCCTGGCTCGTTCGGACAGCGGGCGCGTAGATCGTGCCGGCCCCGCCCCACGCGTTGGTGCGCGCCTCCCACTGGGCCCCAGCGTACACTTCGTGAACATAGATCCCCGCGTGCGCCAAGGTGCGGTCGAAGTCCCAGAGTTGGGCGTCGCGGCCCAAGCTCCCGTCCGGGGCGAAGGAAAACTCGATGACGCTATTCGCGGCCATCGGCTGCCAATTCGGGCTCGACTGCTCGATCAGGATGGCTGCCGGGTCGTGGGGGGGCCGGGCGTCCCATCGCATTGTGGGGTGGTCTGCCGTCGACAGGTCTGGGACTCCTGCTGTCGGGGAGGGCTTGGACTGGCGGGAGCTTGCAGGTGCATGCGGCTGGCTGGGCTGCGCGGCCCCGGGTCCCGCGGGGCCATCGCATGAGGCCATCGGACTGCTGGCTGGCCTCGTCGCGCTGCGGCCCTCATTCGCGGCCTCCGCGGAGTAGGATGGCTGCGCGCGGGGTGGGGCCTCCAGCGAAGGTCCTTGCGGCTGGGTGGTCACGACGAAGGTTGGGTCAATGGGCCCGTCGCACGGGGCCCTCCATCCTGTCTGAGGCGGCGTGGGGGCCCGCCCTGGGCAGCGTGCCCACGCGTGGTCTCCTCCCAGCTGGTGCCCGAACCACCAGCCGCAGAACTGCTCCCCGTCACGCTCGTCCCAAAACTACAGCAGCACGTCGAGGTCATGGGTTTGCACGTCCCTGAAGTACGTCGGCATTCCGTGGCTCTGGGACAGCGTGGTGTATGAGCCGCCGACGATGCCGCCTACGTCCGCGTTGGGGCCCCCTTCGACCGTGAGCGAGCCCCTGGCTGCGCCGCTGGCGGCGGGCGGCGGGGTCGCCGCCGCCGGCCCCGCCGCGGCGCTGCACGCCGGCCGGGCGGCCCCCATCGCGGCCTCGATCATGCGGCTCTGCGTGCGCGGGGAGACTGCGGCCAGCTGCGAGAGGAACGCCGACTGCTCGTTCTGCCGCTGCGGCGTCCCGGGCGCAGCGGTAGTGCCGGCTGCGGCGATGGGGTGATCTGGCGCAACTGCCGTCGGGGTCGGGGCCGGCGCCCCCTGCGCCGGCGGCCCCCAGGGGGGGTCGAGGGGCTCTGGCGGGCCCGGTTCGGCGATCTCGGTGGGAGGCGTCCTCGACCGCCCGCGGTGGAGGACGGGCGTGGCATTCGGCGACGGGCTGCTGGCTGGCCTGGAGGGGATCGGTGACCTGGGGCTCGGGGCACGGCGGCGGCTCCGTCCGCGGCTGCGAGCGCCGCCAGCCTCCGGCTCCTTGTCCTTGGAGCAGCGGGCGTGCTCGGGGGCGTCGCGTCCAGCGCCTCGGCTGCGGCTGCGGCTGCGGCGCCCGCGCGCGCCGGCGCGGCGGCCGCTCCGCTGCTGGCGGGCCTCGAGGAGCTCCCGGGCACGGGCGACCGCGGTGCGCATGTCCACCCTCGGCGGGTCGTGGGAGGCCATCGCGCAGGCACTCACTGCTTGCATCGTCCTCTCGACCCGGCCCGCGTCATTAAACGGCATGGCCCCGGACACCCACAGCTTCATGATGGATTTCGCGTGGAGCTCACGGCGGGGTTCCCTGGCGCCCCGGCGCTGCTCCAGGATGCGCGCGGCCTTTGTGGTGAAGTTGTGCAGCGCTGCGAGGGCTTTGTCCGCGGACAGGCCCAGGCGCGTCCAGAACTGGGGCTCCGTCGGCAGCGTCGCGGCCGCGGGGGGTCGGCACAAGCACTTGGTTGGGTGTGCGCAGGCACTTGTTTTGAGCCGGAGGCTACTGATATCAAGGGCTGGGTGGGGTCAGGCGTCGTCGCGGCAAGCCCGTGGCGCCGGACTGTCGCGCGAGGCCCGCCCGTCTTGGTAATCTGTCACCTCGTGGTGCATATCTACGGCCCCCGTCCGATTGAGCATGTGGGGGCGGGTGCCGCGCCGAGCAGGCCCCCGTGCGGGGCTGCCGCGCGGGGCCCCCCGTCTTCTTGAGCCCTGTGGGGTCAGGCGCTGCGCCGAGCATGCCCTGGGTGGGGCTGCCGCGCGGGGCCTGCCCTCTTGGACGAAACGGCCTCCTTCGGGAGGGGGGGGCAGCGGGGGAAAGGGGGGGGGGGGGGGGAAGACAGCGGGGAAAAAGGGGAGGATGGGGGGGGAGGGGAGGGAGAGCGGAAGGCAAGAGGGGAGGGGGGGGAGAGGGCGAGGGAGGAGGACAGCAGAAGCAGCAGCAAGGGGACGGCGAGGAGGGGGGAGGTCAGGTGGATGCACGCAGCGGGGGCAGTGGCCAGGCGCGACGCGCTCTGTGCCCCCCCGTGGCCCGCTGCTGCTCCCCCCGCCCTCTCTTGATCCTGCTCGGACCGCCGCTGGCGCCCGGGCGGCGTTCGGGGGCGGCCGCTGCTGGTGGCGGGGGAGGGGGGCACGGCGGTTCTCACGCGCCGACCGCACTCCTCCTTGCCCCCCCCAGCTACGCAGGCCGGACCCCCGGCCGGGGGCCCCCCCACCGAGCCGACGACGGCGACGGCGACGGCGACGGCGACGACGACGGCGACGACGACGACGACGACGAGACCGACGGCCGACGGCCGACGACAGACGACCGACGGCGGCGACAGCGACGGCGACGGCGACGACGAGGGCGACAGCCCCCACCGACCGCGAGCCCGCCCTGACCATCTCCGAAAGGGGTCGGGGGCGCCCGCCGCCCCCCCGCCGCGCCGCCGGGGGCGCCACGGGGGCCGGCCGGGTGGCCGCGGTCGACCTGTTTCCGATGGTCACGGCAGCCCCGCGGCCCACGCCGGGCCATTCCCCCCCGCCCGCGGGCCCAACGGCCACGACGGCGACGGCGACGGCGACGGCGACGGCGACAACGACGACGAGGGGGGGGAGGCGGGCGGGCGGGGGCGGCGCCCGGCACCCGAAAAGCCCCGAATGGGGTGTCACACAACTCGTTGCGTGACGCCCAAGTTGCGTGACACCCAAGTTTGTCGTTCCGGCGGCGTCGCGGGCCCCGGGCGCGGGGGCGGGGCCGGGGCGGCGACCGGTGACCGAATCCCCTCGCCTAGGCTGCGCCTCGGGCACCGCTGCCGCAGGTCGCCAGCGCGGGGCGGCGGGGCCCGCTGCTATATACGGCGGCTGCTGGGGCCCGTTGCCAGGGCTCGCCGAGGCTTGCCGGCCGGGCCGGCCGCCTCGCGCCCCGGCGTGCCGGAGGCTCTACCGCCGCCATCGGGTCCTCCGACTCGCTCTCGACGCTCGACGAGGAGTCGGCACCTGGCTCCTCGCCGGAGTCCACGTCGCCCAGGACGTCCTCGCCGCCTTCGTGGCCCTCCTCCGGGACGTCGGGGGCGCCGAGGACGGCCGCCTCATCGTCCCCCGCCGGGATGACGAACTCCCCGGTCCTGAGGTACTTCGGCAGCATGAGGAAAGCGAGCGTGACTATCTTCGCCTCCTCGCACCCGAAAAACTGCCGCTGGGTGTCGGAGGCCTTGCTCATAGCCTCAGCCGTCGCGCCGAGCTGCTTCGCCGTCGCCGCCAGCGGCCCGGCCGCGCATGCCTGGGCCTTCCAAGCCGTGGCGGCCCTGAGGTGGGCTGCCCGCCATCGGCGGCTTTGCTGGATCGAGTCCGCGTAGTGGTGCACGCAAGAGCTCGGCGACAGGTCCATGACGCCATGCGCCTTGACCCGGCCGTAGTTGATGTTAGAGCTGGCTACATAGCCTGGCCCACATAGCGTCCCCCGTTCCGTCAGCCACCTTGGCCGCTTGCGAGAGCGCTGATAGCAGCGCTCCAAGATGCTGAAGCAGTTCTTGCCGGTGGGGCACCCAACCTTGAGGCACCGCCAGGACAGGTCCCGTCTCGACACCTTTCTCAAGTGAGGCCTGCGTTATTTCTTCGTGAGCCACCACAATTTTTTCAAGACCTTTGTGGAGGCCCTCCCTTTGCCCTCGCGCTGATCTTTCAGCGCCGAGTTCAGCTGCCGCAAATTGAAGGCGTCGGTCCACGCCTTCTTCTCGGGGAGGGCCTTGAGGACGGCTCGGGTGGTCATTGATATTGCTGTCCGGGTCTTGCGGTCATTCGCCGAGAGGTCGAGCTCGGCCAACTTGCTGCACAATTTTCGCGTACATTCCCTGTTGTTCAATATGCCCAATACCAACGACAAAGTGAGCACCGATGACCCCCTACGGGAGACTCGGTCGAGGAGTGGTTCCATCAGCTGCGAAGACTTGTCATGGAGCTCGTCATTGATTTTCATGTTCACGAGGATGAACTTTGGGGACCAGACGACCTATTGGCGCGCCCCATCAGCCGTCTCCACGTGAAGCCGGAGGGGTGGTAGGAGCGGCGCCACTCGGCTGTGCAGTGCCCTGGTGTCCGCCTTGCCGCTGGCCATTCGCCGGGCGGCCAAGTACTTGGCCACTGTGTCCCTGACCTCGCGCCCGTTCAACACCCGCCAGCCCGTGTGGCGAGATGGGGTCCACTTCTCGCGGACCCCTGCCCGGCGCCGCCGGCTGCCCGCCCCCATCGCTGGGGCCCTGGCGCCGCCGCATCCAGCCTACCAGCCTGCAGCTGCAGGCCGCCGGGCCGCCATGGCGCGAGGGGGGAGGAGAGGGGGGGGCGGGGGGGGGAGGGGCGCGGCGGGGCGCGCGGCCCCACGGCGCCCGCGCGGCCCAAGGCGCGCCGCTTGACCTCCTCCTCCTCGACATTGAGCCAAAGTGGCTACGGAAACCGGAGCCCTCGACATCGGGCGTCTCGCAAAAAATCGAGGCCGAGGTTTTTCATAGTTTTTGGCCTGTCGGGGCTCTCGCCGGGCCTCGGGGCCGTCAAGAAAACGGCTCGGGATGAAAAGCCGGTCCCAGGGAAGGGGTCGGGAGGTCGGGGGCCCGCGTCTCGAAAAAATCGAGACGTCGGATGTCTGCGTCCCTGGCCGCGCGAGCCGAGGGGCGAGGAGGGCGAGAGTCGGGCCAGACGAAAGGGGGGATTGGGAAAGGGGGGGTTACAAAATCTGCTGCACGCAGCTGGTTGTGGCCCCACCGAGGGGCCCATTCCTCGAGACATAGCCGCCTCGGGAGGCGCCGGAAAAATCAGCTGCGTGAGCTGATTCCCCCCCCCCCCCTTTGCTATCCCCAGCTTTCGCCCTTCCCCCCCTCCCTTTGCTATCCCCAGCTTTCGCCCGGCCCGAGAGAGGCGGTCGAGGAGGACGAGGGCCGCCACTGCCCCGGGTGGGTCTTCTCCGATCCTCTCCGCCCAAGCCCAGGCCCCCGCGGGAAGGAGGATGAGGAGGACGAGAGCCGCCGCCGCTGCCGCGGGTGGCCTTCTCCGATCCTCCTCGCCCAGGCCCAGGCCCGCGTCGCCCTTCGGGAAAGAGCGGCGCCCTGTCCCTGAGGCGTCTCGGTCTGCCTTGCCAAACCGCAAGTGATCGCGCGCGTTCAACACGTGATCGTCGCCGACACAAGCGTGAAAACCACGAGGCCAACCCTCCACTCGCACGAGCCCTGTAGCACGGAATGTTCTGTCAAGTCTGCGGGGAAGTCGGCGCCCACCCGCCCGCGTCCGGTCTTGCCCTTCTGCGTCCCCGCCTGGCGTTCAGAGCGCGCCATCGGGCGAGCCCTGTGCGCCCGCGTGAGCACACTCTTGCCCGGCGGAGGTGGCCGCGAACCAGCCCCCGCCAGTCACGGTCCGCGCGGGCCCGCCGACAGTGCCGAAGATGTGGTCGTGAACAGAATGGCGACGTACATACGTGCATGCATACATACACACAGTCGAGGTGCATAGGAGAGGACACTCGAGAGGACACACGACCCTTCCGAGGGCCACATTGCCATAGAAATGTGCACGGGCCGCGACGCACAGGACACAGGGGCACTCTTGATCTGGCAGGGCCGGTCAACTAAGCAACCTCGACCGTGCTGAGGCGGTCCCTGCCGTGCAAGAGCAGGAGGAGGAGGAGGAGGAGGAGGAGGAGGAGGAGGAGGAGGAGGAGGAGGAGGAGGAGAGCTGAAGAGGCGCAGCACGTGGCGCAGGACTCCCACCCGCCGCCGCAGCCCCAGAGCCCCGCTCGGCGGCCAGGAGGCGGCAGGGGAAGGCCTGCAGCTTCGCCGCCTCGGGGGGCCGAGAGCCCGTCGTCAAGGCCTCCGCCGCGAAGACCTTCCAGGACGGGCTTCGAGGGCGCCGTTGCGGGGATCCCTCCGCGATGCCCGCTCCGCCTCGGCCCAGCGCGCCGCCGCGCGCGCCTGGCCCTGCGCGGGCGGTCGGCGGGCAGCTCCTCTTCGCGGCGCGGGCCAATGTGCGCGGCACTGCCGGCCGCGCCTGGCGCCCTCGGGACTGTCCACGAGCACGGCGCACCGGGCGCCCCGCCTGTGCAGGGCCGCGCCCGCCGCCGGTCGGGAAGGTCCGACCGGCCCCGACGCAGCGCGCGATGCGCGCGCCCAGCGGCCGATCGACCCCAGCGATGGCGGGTCGCCACCTCGGCGGCGGGGGTTGAGTTCCGCGTGTGGCGACTTGAACCGACGTGGCTTGAGCCTCCACGGCTGCCGAGGAGGAGGGGGAGAGAGGAGGATGATGATGATGATGAGGAGGAGGCGGAGGAGGAGGAGGAGGAGGAGGAGGAGGAGGAGAGGAGGAGGAGGACGAGGAGGAGGAGGAGAGGAGGAGGAGAGGAGGAGGAGAGAGGAGAAGGAGGTGGAGGAGGAGGAGGGGGGGAAGGATGAGAAGGACGATGGAGAGCGGGGGAGGAGGATGAGGAGGAGGAGGAGGAGGAGGAGGAGGGAGGAGGGAGGAGGAGGAGGAGGAGGAGGAGGAGGAGGAGGAGGAGGGGAGCGGAAGAGAAGGACGTTGAGAAGAGCGGGGGAGGAGGGCGAAGGATGAGGATGAGCAGTAGGAGGACGACGACGCGGGCACTGTCGCCTCCAAGATGGCGGCGGGAGGCGCGGCGCCCACGGCGGCGCGGCAAGGAATGCAACTCCTGCCACGGCGGCGATCCGGCCCTCCCCCCCTCCTCCCTCCTCCCTCCCTCCTCCCTCCCTCCTCCTCCTCCTCCTCCTGCTCCTCCTCCTCCTCCTCCTGCTCCTCCTCCTCATCACCGTTCCAACTCTCCCCATCACCCCCCCGCCTCCTCCTGTAGCTGGGGCTGTAGGCCCTGCTGTAGGCATCTGAATCTCTAGGGGCGCTGCGAATCCCCGCCCCGAGCGGCCGTTGGCGCTTGGGGGGGAAGCAAACTAGGCAGCTGTAAATCAAGAGCGCGTGGGGCAGCGGAACGACCGCCCAGGGCGCGGGTAGGTCCCCCAGGCGGCCCGCTCGCGTTGATTTCCCCCCGTCCCGACCCGTTGCCTAATTATCCCCTCCATCCCATGGGCGCGGAGGCGGCTATATGGCTGCCAGGCAAGGATGGAGCAAGGCGAGGTCTGTCCTCCTCCTCCTCTTCTTTTTCTTATTCTTCTGAGTATGTTTCTTATTAGTATTATTCTTCAATACTATTATTGATACTGTTACTATTATTATTATTATTATTATTATTATTATTATTATGATTAGTAGTATTGTTATTATTATTATTATCATTATTATTATTATTATCTTTGTTATTATTCTTATTAGTATTATTCCTATTACTACTATATTATTATTATTATTATTATTATTATTATTATTATTATTATTATTATTATTATTATTATTATTATTATTATTATAAATATTATTATTATTAGTAGTATTATTATTATTACTATTATCAGTACCATTATTATTATTATTCCTCCTCTTCTTCTTCTTCTTCTTCTTCCCTCTCCTCCTCCTCCTCCTTCTCCCTCGTGCCGGTAACCAGAAATACATGACAGCGACTATTACGATGACTCAGCTGAGACGATGAGACGACTCGATTTCCGATCTTTGCGTGCCGATGAGAGAGACGACCTCGCATTTCACTCGCGGACGGGGCTCCCGCATGAGACTTCCTCCAGATTCAAGGCTCAGGTGCCCGAAAGCGACGCCAGCTACAACATTCGGACGACCCGCTCGGATTAGTCACGTGATCTGCGGGCCCCGCGGGGACGGGGCCCCCGCCTGAGAGTCTCTCGCACTCCGCTCACGGACGAGGCTCCCGCGCGAGACTTCCTCCAGATTCAGCGCTTGGGGGCATGAAGAAGGCGACAACTACGGGACTCGGATGACCCGCTCGGACTCATAGCACACAGTCGGGCCGCCGAAAGAAGGAACGCCAATTGAGGAACGAAGCCCCTTCTTGGCCCTGCAGGCGCCTTCGTGCCCCAGGAGGGCAAGAGGAACGGCACTGGAGGCACCCAAGGAGCATCGAGCCCCCTCCGAACCCAAGCTGCTCCTTATTTTTGCGTTTTGACTCTAGGGCTCCCAACCTCGCGCTTCGCGCTCCGCGAAGCGCGAATGACTTCGCGCTCTCGCGCCGCCCCCCCCCAAAAGGGAGAAAAGGATGACGAGGAGGAAGGGGAGAAGGAACGAGGACCGCGAAGCGCGCAGGAGGAGGGGGAGAAGAGGAGGGGGAGAAAAGGAGGACGGGGAGGAGGAGGAGGAGGAGGAGGAGGAGGAGAGGAGGAGGAGGAGGAGGAGGGGGGGGGAGGAGGACGAGGGGAGGGAGAGGAGCGCGCAAAACTTCGCGCCCTCGTGGGAGCCCCTGGTAACAGCATGCCCTGCGGGCCCTTGGTAAGGGACGGGGCTCCAAGCCCGAAGATCTCCTCGCGCTGCGCGCTCCCGGGCGAGGCGCCCGCACGGCGAGCCCCCCTCCCGATGTGCAAAACTCGGGGGCCCGACACTCCTCCTCCTGCTCCTCCTCCTCCTCCTCCTCTCCTCCTCCTCCTCCTCCTCCCTCCTCCTCCTCCTCCTCCTCCTCCTCCTCCTCCTCTTCCTCTCCTTCCTCCTCCTCTCTCCTCCCTCCTCCTCCTCCTCTCTCCTCCTCCTCCTCCTCCTCCTCCTCCTCCACCTCCTCCTCCTCCTCTTCCTCCTCTTCCTCCTCCTCCTCCTCCTCTTCCTCCTCCTCCTCCTCCCTCCTCCTCCCCCTCCTCCTCCTCCTCCTCCTCTTCTTATTCTTCTTCTTCTTCTTCCTCCTCCCTCCTCCTCCTCCTCCTCCTCCTCCTCCCTCCTCCTCTGTCCTCAGCGCCCTCCCTGCTCCCCCTCCCCCCTCCTCTCCCCCCCCCCAGGCGCTCTCCCCCTTTCGGGGGCCCAGAAGGAGCGTCGGCCACCAGGTTCGCATGACCCGCTCGGAGTGGCAAGCGAGCTGCGGGCCCCACTGCCTGAGGCGTCCTCGCAAATCGCTCACAGACGGGGCTCCCGTTCGAGGCGTCCTCAAGCTGAGCGTATGTGTGTGTGTGTGCGCGCGCGATGGCGATGCTCATGAGGATGCTGCCGATGTTCAAGTGATGATGGTGATGACGAGATAGTGATGGCGAACGGGATTGAGATCACGCTGATGGTAATGCTGATGACGAGTTGAGTGCGTGCGTGACTGAGTGAGTGATGCTGCGACGAGAGAAGAGGAGAAGGGGGAGGTACTACGCGGGGTGTCCCCAGAAACCGAACATCCCACTTAGGATGCACGGAAGAAAGAGGGATGAAGACGCAGATCCAGATCGGGCAGAATCAATTGCGCGGCTCCACCGCTTCTGCCCCGCCCCTCTCCTTTGGTCCGTGAGGGTCGCTGCTGGGCCAATCTGCGCCCCTGGGTTCGGGCCGGGCGGAAGGGGGGGATAACAAAGGGGGGGGGTTTGAGAATCAGCTCACGCAGCTGATTCTTGCGGCGCCTCCCGGCGCCGGGAGGCGCCCACGCATCGAGGAATGGGCCCGGCGGCGGGGCCGAAACCAGCTGCATGCAGCAGATGTCGTAACCCGCCCTTTCCCGATCCCCCCCCCTTCGTCCGGCCCGACTCAGGTGCTCGGCGAGGCCACCGACCTCGGAAGCTGCCAAGAGGGGGGTGTCCAAGAGGGGGGGGGGGCAAATCATGACCGGCGGCATGTGCGCGGCCCAGCGGGGGGACCAGGGACGTAATGAAGTAAGAAGAGGCGCCATGAAATCGGGGGAAATACCATGGCCCCCGCCATGAGATCCCCCCCCCAGTCATCACCCCCCTCTTTGCCGCCCCCGACGACCTTTTAAGCCGCGACGACCCAGACATCCGACGTCTCGATTTTTTCGAGACGCGGGCCCCCGACCTCCCGACCACTTCCCCGGGACCGGTTCTTCATCCCGAGTCGTTTTTTGACGGTCCCGAGGCCCGGCGAGGGCCCCGAGAGGCCAAAAACTATGAAAAACCTGCGTCTCGATTTTTTCGAGACGCCCGATGTCTGGGGAGGCTGGGGGCGCCGGAGCAGCGACTTCTTGACCTCGAGAAGTCTCGGCCCGGAGGTCGTCGGTGCATTCGCACGGGCGCCTGGCACGGGGGCCAACTTTTTCGGCGATCTGCCACGGGAGCGCTGCTGTGGCCTCTTCGAAGGGGCCCCGGGACACACAAATACATCCACACATAAATTATTCACTGCGTGGAGCTCCCCATATGTGCATCTATTCGCACGGACCTGTCCGCCGTGAACGTCCAGGCGCAAGAGCTTTCGAATGTAAACGGGCTTCAGTTGTGACGGTCTGGTCATGAATCTAACTGAGAATGAATTGGAGTGTGAATGAGCCTCAATAGTACGAGCGCGTCTCTGCGCATGAGCCTGGGTCCTCCTGGGGCCTCCTGGGGCCTCCTGAAACCTACTGGGGCTTCCTGGAGCCTCCAGGCCTCTTGGGGCCTCCTGGGACCTCCTAGGGATGATTCGTGCCCCAGGAGAGGCCCAATCTATAGCAACAGACATACGTAAAACGTTGCGGACTGGAGCCACAGGAGAATGGGGCAATTTATAGGAACACACGTAAAACACCAAGGACTCGTGCCCCAGGAGAGGCCCTATAGGAACATAAATACACAGGAGAAGGACAATCTATAGAAACATACGTATAACATCAAGGATTCGTGCTCCAGGTGAGGCACAATATATAGGAGCATACGTCAAGCACATGGGATTGGAGCCACTCCTGTTGCCTTCTGAAGCATCCTGCTCCTGGGGCCTCTCGGGGCCTCCTGTTGCCTTCCGAGACCTCCTGTCGCTTCCTCTGGCCTCCTGGGGCCTCCTGTGGCTTCCTGAGGCCTCCTGGAGCTTCCTGGGGCTTCCTAGAGCCTCCTGGGACCTCATGTGGTCTCCTGGGGCCTCCTGGAGCCTGTTGGAGCCTCCTGTGGCATCCTGAAGAGAATCTGTGCCCACGAGTCTGGCCACCGATCGAGACATCCTCAAAATCTGGCCCACCTGGGGGGTGAAACTGAGCGCCTCGCTCGAGACATCCTCCAAATCTGCTCCGAAAGCGAAGGATGTTAAGACAGAAAAGAAGCAAACCGCTTGAGACATCCCCACAAAACGGCCGCGAACGGGACCGTGAGGTAACCCCTGGCGGCTCCCCTTAAGGAGGTGAACATGAGCGCCTCGCTCGAGACATCCTCCAAATCTGCTCCGAAAGCAAAGGATGTTAAGACAGAAAAGAAGCAAACCGCTTGAGACATCCCCGCAAAACGGCCGCGAACGGGACCGTGAGATAACCCCTGGCGGCTCCCCTTGGGGGGGTGAAAATGAGCGCCTCGCTCGAGACATCCTGCAAATCTGCTCCGAAAACGAGAGATGTTGGGACAGAAAACAAGCAAACCGCTTGAGACATCCCCACAAAACGGCCGCCAACGGGACCGTGAGATAACCCTGGGGGCTCTCCTTGGGGGGGTGAAAATGAGCGCCTCGCTTGAGAAATCCTCCAAATTTGTTCCGAAAACGAAAGAAGTTGGGACAGAAAACAAGCAAACCGCTTGAGACATCCCCACAAAACGGCCGCGAACGGGACCGTGAGATAACCCCTGGCGGCTCCCCTTGGGGGGGGTGAAAATGAGCGCCTCGCTTGAGAAATCCTCCAAA